TCGATAGATATGAACAAATTTTATTTGTCAATACAATTATCTATTATATCATTTAGAATTCGATTTTGTAAGAAATATAAATTTGAAATCTAATAAATGAATCAATATTCTCTACAACTAGAAATCTTTAGTTGTTGATATTTTGATCAAGTTGAATATGAAATGTATTATCGGATTTTTTTCTTAGAATATTGATAATAAGTACAATCTTAATGTAAAGATTGTTTTGGTAATATTGGTTTGGTATGATAATGATCTTCTTTTTCTTTTTTTTGAGATATTCTTCTTCTATTTGAACAAGTTCTCGAGTCTCAAGTAGGATTTTCAACGTGTCGTCAATAAACCCAAAGAAAACGACAACATATTGTTGACATTCAATGTGCGAGCAAAAAGTTACTTGAGTGACACCGGAAATGTCTCTCATTTCGTATACAGTTTGGTAACGTCACTCTACCACAAACGTAGTCATACTTCTTGCCAAGTATGTTAATATACATTGGTTCGCCTGTTCTCGTTATTTCACTACTAATCTTCATTAAATCTTCTATATAGAATGTTTTTTTTTTTCTTCAAGCCGTTTTTTTGCTCGTGAATCTGTTAGTTACTTTTCACATCAGATTGCTATGCATACATCTAATAGCAGGAGAAAATATTATTCTTTGTTCATTACTTAGAACTCTAATGGACTGCACAACATTAACGTAATTCTGCGTCGGAAGTCAATTTTCTCTGCGTACCAGGGTGTGCGCATGTGCACAGACTTTGCTAATGTTTCCAAACACATGCACACCCATAAAGACATGCCAGAGGGAGATTGTTGGCGAAGAAAAGGAGAAAAAGCAAAAGAAAAAAAAAAAAGAGAGAAAGTCTGACATGACGAATCTAAAAAAAAACCGAGTCATCCAGTCATCAGACAGGAAATAAATGCTGATGCTTGAACTTTGTATAGTGAAGAAGAAAAAGAGAGATACAGGCACTGAATGAAGCGATGAGTGAAAAAAACCAAACGAAGAATGAGAGAGACAGAGACGCCTATTTCCGTTGTCGCTCAAAATTATTGAACAAAAATATTATAATGTACTACATAAGATCGAATTCTTTTATTTTTTGTTTTTAATCCATAAAGATTGAAAAAAAAGATTCCGGAAATTTTGACACAAAAAAACCAATATATTTAAGTGCAAAAAACAAAAAAAAATCTCATATAAAACGTTATTATTTCGTAATCTTCAAATAAATATAACACCCACCCAATCGTTCTTCTTTTTCTATATTATTTCTGTGTTCAACGAGAAACAGAACGAGCAGACATTCCATCTGCACCCAAACACGTAGATAGGCTCATCTCAATGAAGAATAACTATTATGATTGGTTAAAAAATTTCATTGGACGTGCGGGCATGCAGAAACACAAACATACATGTCATGATTTTTTTTATATGAGAACGAGAGAGAAAGAGAGAGAGAAAGAGAGACGGAAAGGCCTCAGTTCCTGCTTCCTTCTGCGCCTCATTCGTCATTGCTACTTCTACGTTATCGTCAACCTACACGAAGAAATATAGCGGCGACGGCAACGGAGATTCAATCTCTCTTAATCGGGCATTGCATTTCCGTAAAAGTTCTTTTCTACGTCGGTCGTCGACACAATTTCAAGGAAGTCCGGGACTTAAAGGCGTCCTCTCTTCTCGTCCGTCCCTCAACCACATATACGCATACTGCATAACAACATCTACACATCATGCTCACTGGTAAGCGACTCGCTCTATGTAAGGAAGCCAAGATTTCCGTCTGCCTTCAACTCGGTCCATGAGTTTATGCGCACGAACAGGAATCGAAGTTTTTCCGTTTTGAAAAAAGAAGAAGAAGGAAACGACAATGATGACATTGCCACTACTATTCGCTTCGTTCTAGTTATTATAACTAATATCGTTGATAGATATTTTTCGAGCCGCATTTCAAAAAAAAAAAAAGAAGAAGGAAACAATGATACAACAATATGAGCACATCCGTTCATAGAGAAAAACGAAAAAGAGAAGAAGAAGAAAAAAGAAGAGAAAAATCTATCAGACAAACCGAGATTCTATAAAAAAAAATGGTGTAGAAAATATTTATATTCATTTTCTTGTTAACTAGTTGCAAAAACATTTTGAATATCGTTATATTGTATATATTGTCTAGAACCATCAAAGCATGCATGGACACCTATAGGCATTGGCGGTACGACAACATCGAATGTTTCCAATAGCAGTAAGTTTATTTTCTATTCAAAAAAACATGATAAAAAAAAGGATAACATTTGAGAAAAGTTTATTTGTCTTGACTCTTTAGCTTAGTTCAAGTGTCGATATAAGATTAGGGAGCTCTTGAAAGATTTACGCAAATAATTAGATAGATAGAAATAAAAACATAGCAAACTTTCTCTTGCTCACATATAAGTGCTTACTGGTACCGAATGTATTTAAGTGAAAAAAGTAAGCAAAACAAGCTGTCGATAAAAGTGACACATCTTTTGCGAGATTTTTTTTTCAGTCTTATTTAATCACACTTCAATATTTATTTAAATTAAATTCTATGAATTTGAGGAAAAAAAAATTATCGTAAAAAAAATAAAAACCATATATAATTTTAGTAATTTTTTAATAGATAATACAGTCATTCATGATTCTATATAATCAATTGTCATCTGTTCATAGATAGTTGTTAGACATTTATTTTCATTGTATGATGATTGACTATTGGTTTCTGCTCATTTTATTTTAATATTTGTGTATGGTAAAAATGAAGCAACGGGTGGGAGAAGAAAGAATAAAATGCCGCTCTTTTTTTGGTTCTTAATTATCAATCGTTTGTGTCCCTCCGACTAACTATATTGTGGTGGAAAGTCAACAATAATTGAATAAAATAATCTTTTTTCTTTTTCTTTTCCTAAATCAAATCGATTGACAATCAGAGAGTTGATTGTTAGAGTACTACATCATGTTCATTTAATTGTCCTTTTTTCTTTTTAGTTGGCTATCACACAACGGCAACTCCTTCATCTACATCATCGTCCAATTCATCTATCAATATTGGTGGTGATTCAAGAGTTAAAAATGATTATGATAATGGATCAGGACGTGGAAATGGAGGAAATGATTGTAACTCGAATACTGGTCATCACCAACAACAGTCGTCATCTTGGTCATCATTGGTTAAATCAGAATCATCACAAGGATTAAGAGGCAATATAGGAAATAATTTTTTTTGAAAAAATAAGATCTTTCTTGTTTTTTTTGTGTTTCTAGATCCTTATTCAACTTTTACAAGTCAATCATTTTTTCCTCACAATGTCCATCGATTCGGTGGAGGAGCTACTGGTAAATATTTTTTTTTGTTTTTTGTTTTTCTTCTAAATAATATTATAAAATATAATTTATATTTCTTTAGGTACAGGTCAAATACAATTGTGGCAATTTTTACTTGAACTTTTAGCTGATGCAAATGCAAATTCAAGTATTATTGCTTGGGAAGGTTCTAATGGTGAATTTAAATTAATTGATCCTGATGAAGTTGCACGTCGTTGGGGTGAACGAAAATCTAAACCAAATATGAATTATGATAAATTATCACGTGCATTACGTTATTATTATGATAAAAATATTATGACAAAAATTCATGGTAAACGTTATGCATATAAATTTGATTTCAATGGTTTACATCAATTAAATCAACCACAATTACCTGAATCACCTTATGCAAAATATCAACAAGAAATGATGCGTTCATCACATGCTCATGCGGCTTATTTTAAATGGAGTGCATTAAGTTCAGCAGCAGCAACATCATCCGCTGTTCATATGCCACATCATCATCATCATCATCATCATCCAGCAGCAGCTGCAGCTTCAACAGCTTATACAAACTATTGGGGTCATCCAAGTACATATGATTATGCAGCTAATTTTGCTACACCGAATCCATATTTATCATCACCATATTGGGTTAGTCCAACAGCAAGTACAACATCATCAACACTTACATCAACTGGAACAGGAGGACTATCATCAACACACACAGCATCTACTGCCATTTCTCCATCATTACCCTATTGAAACTAAAGACAAAAAAAAAATCTATTGTTCTGTTGTATATAATTTCTTTCTTTTTTTCGAGTGAATTAAAAAAGTCACACACCATTATCAACACGATGTCTTGGCGATAGTAGCATGAGGCACCTGGAAAGAAAACATCTGCATGTAAATGTGACAATGAATGTCTATCTAGTAAAATTCACTTAGCATGAATAATGATCGATCGTATGTATAAAGCTATCATTGTTGTTGTTGTTATTATTCCTGAGATGAACTTATTATAACTTTTTATTATTATTTTGCCTTCTGCTACTTCATGTTTTTTATAATTGAATATGAAAAGTGTCGTTCATTTCCTTTTTTTTTTCTTTTTCTGTCTATTCATTCACACCTTGCATAATGTTCATATTATTGAAAGATCAAAATTCAGTTTTAAGTCAAGTGCATCTTTTTATTTAATTGTTTCTTCGGTTTTTAACGGTGTAAACGACACGAACAAATAATGCGGTATGATTGAAGACGAAAAAAAAACAAAAAATACAAAAGAAAAGGATATGTTTCATTCTCGAAACAAATGCATTTTGCCGATGATAGAAATGTATAGAAAATGTTTAATGGATAACTTGAATCATCAAACGACGCACAAAACAAAAAAAAATGAAATAACAATTGCTATATCGTGTGCATTTTTCTTTTGCGTATTAAAACAGCTGGTGCGATATGTTATATATAAACTCTAAACAATAGTTAATAGAATATTTTCAATGCCATACTTCTTTTCAGTTTTATCTGTGCTCTAAAACATACATTCATAAAATTATAAATTTTATAATGCATTTTTCAACTACAATTTTGATATTATTCGTTGTAGTGTTTATTTCCGTAGTTCGAACGGATACACAATTCTATAACGACTATTTAGGTATGTAAATGAATAATATTCTTATCGATTTAATAAAAATCGAACCGACAGTGACAAAACGAAGTATTAGAAAATTTTAACATTTATTAGATAGGAATAAACTGGTTTTTTTTCTTGTGATCATGAAATCATTCTAAATAACATATGTAAATAAGAATATTATACAACTTTCACTTATACTAAGATGATTAACTAAGATAATTTTGTTTTTAGAAATTATTTTAAAAAACTCTTTATTAATTTTTAATTCTTATCTATTTAGAGGAACCTGTTGATGATGATACTGTGACTATCAATACATCATTATCAATCAATTCATCAACGAACATTTCGAATTCAACAGATCAACGTTCATCTTTATCTCCAATATTAACAGCTCTATCAACTAAATATACAACATCAACTGAAATTAAAAATAACACGATTCTTATTTTTGCAAATCAATCCACTTCATTGTCATTATCATCAACATCTGCTACAAGTCAAGAAATACCGATGACTGTAGCATCTAACATATTGGTTAGTTATCTTATTGATCAATTTAATCAATATCGTGATATTGATATACTTTCTCGTATAAAACAATGTGATTCAAATATGACACTTAATGATATATGTGAAACATATTCATTTGATAATCAAACTTATTCATTAATACGTGAATCAAATGTTGGATTTCAATCATTACAATATATTTATGATGCTCTTATTGATCGAAGTACTGTACAACAATTAAATACATTTTGTTCAACTGCTCAATGGTGTTTGACAAATTTAACAACATATAGTATACGTTTTACTGTTGATATTTTTCGACAACTTGGACATTCATTTTGTTCACTTGAAAGTTGTCATCATCGACTTCAGGCACATATAAAGGCATGTCCATCAAATGTGACTACGGTATACACATATAATAAAAATCAAAAAAATTTCTGATTAAATTTTTCTTTTTTCAATATAGAATATAAGTCAACCGACGCTAGCATTATTGCCAATGTTATGTACTCTTTATCAAGAACAACAGAGTTGGAATTCAACTGAATGTTCTAGGCAAGTTGTGTATCTTCTTCATATTCTTTATGCATTTTGGCCACAACTTGAAGTAATAATCATTTATTATATATATCAAAATTATTATTTGATTATTTATAGACATGTTATGCTGTGATTACTGCTGGTTCTGGTGGTTGCACGTATGAATGTCTAGCATTCGACTCTATTTTTCATGAAGTTGAAAATCAATGTAATGGAGAAACTTCATTTTTAAGACGGTAAGTTAAATAAAATTTTCTATCAGAAAATTTATTTTATTTTTGACAATCAAAACAACAAAACTAACAAGAGTTCCTGCTTTGGTTTGGTATCAATCATTTAATTTACAACAAATGTGTCGTGATGAAATAATTGTAACAAAACCTCCATTTATATCTTCAGTAATTTAAATGAGTATATAAGATTGTATAAGTAATTTGAATATTTCAGGTAAAAAGTTTTATTTCTTCAAATATGATCTGGTATCGATTGCATCAAAGACCTGTTCATGCAGCTTTATTTATTATTGTTGTCATTTGTATTGTGATTAGTTTTTCTTTATGTCTATATTTTATGTCAAACAATATTTATGATTCAAATACTCGACGTTTTGATGATGATTATAAATATACACGATTACATGATTCAACATTTGACCTTGGTGCAAATACTGAAAGTATATACTGTTTTATTTATTTTATATATTATTTTAATTGATCTATTCTTAGTTTCAAATAGAAATTCAACATTAAGTGGAATAGAAGATGAATCACAATTGGATCTCAATGATAATCTTCATTCATTAGAACATCAACGATTATTGTAAATGGAATCATAAATAAAGACAGTTTTATTTTTTCTGTCTTATTTCGTATTTCTTTAATAATAAAGAACATCATTCTTTCTTTCATTATCTTAATATTATATTTTTCAATATGAATAATATCATAAATAATAAAAATGTATTTGAGTTGAGAAATTCTTGAAGAATTGACAAGTAATGTGATAATAGAATTGTATGTTGAAAGGGAGTGAAAGTAGAACGACGATAAAATTAATCGATTGCAATTGTATGGATTCGTTGAAGAAGGTTATACTTTTTCAGTTGAAGTATGAAGAATATTCGATGATTTCTTTCATTTGAATTCAATCTTGATTTGCATAGTGAAATCAAAATGAAAACAAACTTTCATCACCTAACAGATCATTCTTTGTAGTGTTAACTATTACATTGGTAGAGGCTACTATGTAACGTACGCTTGACAATTTATGTTTTCTCTTTGTTGTATTGGGAGACTTTTACATTCTTTTTTTTTGCATCTTATCCTTCTACAAATACTTGAAGAGACGGGAAAGGAAAGAGAAAAAAAAAACCAACAGTCTCTTAGTTACATTTTTTGCATTTTGTTACAGAATTTGTTTCAACATCAACAACAAACAATTATTTTTAGTAATAAGATTACTAACAATTGTCAATTATAGATTTCTTTTTCTTTTATTTGTAGATTAAAATGACAAGTAATAATGATTTTAATTCATTATTATCACAATTACAAGAACTTGAAAAATCAAAAAATTATTTAACTATTGGTAATACATTAGATCGTCGTTTTGATTCAAAAATGAATGATATTATTAGAAAATGGATATCAAATGATAGATTATCGAATGAAGAAAAACAATTTATTGATTTATATTCTAATCTTCAATTATATTTTGTTGAATATTGTTTTTTTGATTCACAATCAACAATAAATAATGAAGATATTATTGAATTATTTCGTATATGTTTATTTCGAGCAAAACAAATTGATGATTTAAAACAAGCTGTTATATTTATTCGTGATGAACAACCATCTAATGATAATATAAATGAAGAAGATGAAATGTTAATTTATCTTATGCGTATGCTTGATGCACGATCACTTGCATATCGATTATGTTTTAAAGAACTTACTCTACCTCCAAGAAATCTTAATAATGAACTTAATTTATGTCTTACTCATCTTCATGCTAAAAATTATTTATATAATATGAAATCAAATAATAATACAAATAAAAATATGTATATAAGTTATCGTCATCAATTTTTTATTGGATGTTGTACATTTGCTGTTGCATTATTTGATGAAAATAAACATAGTTTAAAAAATGATGATAATAAAAAATATATTTGTTTACTCGCAAAATATATTCGAATTGTATTAAATATAAAAGATTTCGAACAAAATAAATCATTTCTTTATTGTCTTCGTGGTATTCTTGCTTTACTTACTAATTGTGTTCCAACAGAAAATTGGATGCATATTATTAATAGAGCATTAGCAAATCCCAATGATGATGATGCGCAACAAGCAAATCCATTTAATATTGATCTATTTTCTTTAATAATTGTTCGATTATTAGGATCAAAAACTCTTCGCGATAAAGCAATACGATCTGATTCAAATGATATTATTTCATTAGTTGATGTAGCACTTATATTTCTTAATAAATGGTATGCTACATCAAGAGATCTGGATGATGATGATGATGATGGTGATGATGGAAATAATAATACATCTTCGTTATCGGATGAACCAAATCAAGTTCTTCGTTTATTGCGTTCGAGTATAGTGGTAGATGGAAAATTAACTACATTGGTAGATGAAAACTTGAATACATCACGAAAAACAAATCGTAATAAAGATCGACAATTAAATACATCTCAAATAATAATTCCTTATATTGATGCAAAATATGATCGTATTCGTTTAATGGCTATGTCAATATTATCAACTATAATGAATTATCAAGATTTTAAAGATTTACAAGAGAAAAAACCCAATATGGCTAAAGATATAGTAAAACTTATATTTGATTTTATTGATCGAGCAATTGCTCAAGGAACTCTTCAATATAGAGGAATATCATTCGAACTACTTCTTCGTTATTTACTTCGATTTCTTGTTCAAGATTTTGTTAAAAAACAAACGATTCCATATATACCAAAAATAATTACTTATGCAGAACAGCGTCATTTAAATGCACTTAAAATTCTTCGTAAAATTTCTTCATCACCAGATACGAAACAAGATTTAAGAAATAATTCCGAATTAAAAGAATTTTTAACAACTAAAGCTAATGCTTTATTTGCTAGTGATCCAAGAATGAAAAATATTATCGAACAAATTCGTCAAAATCTTGCACCAGAACACCAAGACGAGCCTTCAAGTAAAGAATATAATCTTTTTTTAAAACCGATTTTTTTTTCGTTTGTTTTCTTTTTAAGCACCAATTGATACTACTAGTCGACAAGCATTTATTTCCTATTGTCATCGTGATAAATATCAATGTGATAAATTTGTTCAAGCATTACGTGAAGCCAAGCTTTTTACAAATATTTGGGTTGATACGAGTTATATGAAAGATGACATGGTTGATACAATAACAAGTGCTATTCGTCAATCGAAAGTTGTTTTTGTTCTTCTTAGTGATGAATATTGTAAATCTGATTTTTGTCGACGCGAATGGCAATTTACTATTACTAAAAAAATTAAAGTTTATCCTGTTTTTGTTCAAGAAGATTTTAAAAGAGAAGCTTTTGATTGGGTTGTATTCAATATTGGTCACAATCATTTTTATAAAATTTATAAAAATGATGAATTACAACGTTTAATTAAGAATTTACATAGTGATAGTCATGAACATCGAAAATTATCAAATAAAACAGTTCGTTTAAGTATATCACAAACATCAGTGCCAGAAACAATAGAAACTAATTCATTAGATAAAAACAAAAATTCGAAAAAAAAATCAATAGCTAATTGGACATCCCACGATATTCAAGATTGGTGTCGTAAAAACAACCTTGAAAAATGGTGTGAACCGTTAGCTCATTATCATGGGCAAGCTTTAATTGAACTAAGCAGAATTTTAGAGAATGATACAAATCTACAACATATTTCCAATGGACATGATATTACTGTGATGGATGTAGTTCTATTTAAATGTGAACTCCGTAAATTATTATTACAAAGAAAAACAAGACGTAAACAACCCAAGAAAAAAAACGTAATAGAACATCATTCCACAAACATATCAACTAAATAAATGTAGTAAATCTTTGACTTATTTTTTATTTTTTTTTCAAGAACATGTAATAAAATAAAAAAAAAAAGATAAATGAAATTTTAAAGTATAGTTAGAGAACCGATTCAATTGCTTTTGTAATTTCTTCATCCAATGGTTTAACTCGACTATTCCAAGCAGCAACAAGATGACCTTGTCGATCAATAAGATATTTATGAAAATTCCATTTAGGTAATACATCATTTCCACCAGCATCAATAATCCATTGAAATACTTCACTTGGTTTATCTTTATCTTGTTTGGTTGTTAAAGGAAATGTCGTTTTAAATTTACTTGAATATAATGAACATACTTGTGGTTCATCACCTGGTTCTTGTTTACCAAAATTATTACAGGGTACACCCTAGACAAAAAAAGAACAGAGAAATGTTTTTTAGATCGTCTTTGATTCTATTCAAGTTTTCAAATCAATTTAAAATAAATTTAAATACAAGGTGAAGAAAAAAAAAGATTCATACCAATACAGTAAAGCCTCTATCTTTATATTTATCATGTAATTCTTGTAATGTATGTAATTGAGGTGTATATCCACATTCACTAGCTGTATTAACAAGTAAAATAACTTTGCTACGTAATTCATTCATATCTAATGGTTGACCTTTGATATCAGTAAATTGACGCTCATAAAATGAAGGTCGACTTGCTGGATCATTAATATGTGTTTGACGAGCAGAAAATAGTGATTTACCAAATTGTAATAAAGTAGCCATGTGTTGTCGTCCTTTTGAATTCAATAAAATAGCACCAGCTAAAAAGAAAATGGAGAAGACGATTATGTTACTTGTCTTAAAAGACATTATTTTTGTGTGCTAAGAAAAGAGCAGTAGAGAGCAACAATAACGAACTAGAAATAAATATATAAGATCTAGATATCAAGAAAAGGTAAAAACAAATGATGATGCAAAAATTTGTCTAGTGTCATACAAAGTCAAAGTAAATGATAGTGTAGAAAGAGAGAGGATTGAATAAAATTATACCGATTGGTTGTTTCTAAAAGATGCTCAGATGGCGTTAGTTAACAATGACAGTTTCTTTTTTTTTCAATGATATTAATAAGATAAATAAGTGATTTGAAGTAATTATAATATGTACGTTAACATCTGCATTAGTAAAATATTCTAAAGCATAAAAACATCTTCATACTATTCGAATATTATTTCCTATATGTCTAAGATATTGTTTCATGTTTTTTACTGTTTTGTCAGGTGTTGATGATTATTCAATAATCTCAAATATCTATATCAATATAAATTGAAGACACATTTGTTGATATTAGTTGTGAAACTAGAGTAGGAATAGATCATGCGCTGTTCAACAACCGGAACTGTTTGTTCAACTACTCAGAAATTTAAAAGCGAAACTCTATCCTAGACGGATGAGAAAAAAATGAAGGCAAAACATTCGTATATTTTTCTCAATTGTAGCCTATACTAATTCGATCAGGTGATGGATGCAATGTCAACTATAATTTAGTTCTCCAACAAATGCGACTTCTGTTACTTGAGCAAAAAACTGATAGATTGTCTTCTTATTAATGAATAAGTTGCTTAGTCATTCATGTCACAACATAGGATTGAACAGAATACTTACGAAATCAAGTAAAAAAAAAAGTAAAACTTTTCATTGAAATTCAATTAAACGATAATGAACCAATATGTAATTAGTACCATTCAGTTGTGTTTCGAATAGTGCTTGACAAAAAAGTAAATAAGCTTCTCGAAATGTTGTCCTCATCATTGCTATTGACAATTGTAGCTCAACAAATGTTTTATTCCTGCAGAAACTAGTCTTTCTACAGATGAATCTCTAATTCAATCGCATTAATTTTCGAGTAAAACAAATGAAGATAATAGATCGCTTCGTTATCCTGTTAGAAGTTATTATTAGAGCTCACACGAGCTGCCTTTTCGTTACGATAGCCCTGTCAGAACGGTACGAAAGCTGTGTAAAAATCCATACGAAAGCTCTGTAAAATCGACAGAAAGGCTCTGTAGAAATGATACGAAAGCCCTGTCAAAACGTATACGAAAGCTCTGTAAAAACGATACGAAAGCCCTGTAAAGTTTTGATACGAAAGTCCTGTCAAAATTTGATACGAAAGCCCTGCTTTTTTATGAATTTTTACAGGGCTTTCGTAACCTACCGTTACGAATCGTTACGTTCCCTTAATTCCACAGTTTTGAAATCAAAATACATCTTTCGTTAATTGGTGATGGTTGGGCTGAGTCCAACTATGTCCTACCCTGGTTCGCCACTAATTCTTCTGGTTTTATAGAGAATAATAACAGAGAACAAGTTTCAAAGGCGAGTAGTCGTCTTCTCGGTCGTGCGACATGTATGAATGTTGTTGTCATCCCTATGTCTCAATGACTCTCTCGGTAGTTGTACAGGTCATGCACACCTTTCATTCATATGTATTGCTATGCTCTGTAGCGATCACAAAATTCGTGTATGATCAGTCTATCCATTAATAGACCGTCAGAGACATGTAGTACCATCCTCGCTCTGTCCTTGAGAGAAAGGTGCACGCACACTGGCCACTTCTATCTCCAATAAAACTGCGTCTTTTGTTATACTAAGCGACAATATGATAATGTCGATTGAACATCGATACGCCACGAAAGACCATTCGCACTGGCAGCTATAAGACTCTGACTATGAGATGGCTCAGCTTCAGCTACACTGTGTCGCTGAGCAAAGGTTCGAAATTTTCAACAGTAACCGTATTCTAGAGAAGTACCATTTTACGTATCTTAAGTTCTGCATATGCACCCCACATAAATTGAAGCCACACATGCATAGTTTAGTCTAAGTATAACGCACTTTGGATTGGACTTGAGGTAAATAAAACATTTTCTGGAGTTCTGAGAGCTTCCTGTCGATGTCGAACTCTAACTCAGTATCGCTAATTAGTTTTTTCGATGTTTCTGAGAATCTATTCATATGAAAAATAAGAAAAGAAGGAAAAGAAGGATTTTAGGCGTAAAGAAGGACGAAGAAGGACACTCTAAAAAAAGAAGGAAAAAAGAAGGAAAGAAGGACCGCTGCGAGGCCTGTATTATATTTAAAAAAACAACTACTACAGATGCTAATAATAATATAATCAGATTATATGTTTAAATAATAATATTAACATAAATTATAATAGAACAAAAATAGTTAATGATAATACTGATACTCATTATAATAATAGCACTATTTAACAGAAGATCAATAAAAATACTAACATCAATATCTATAATCACATTAATCAGAACTATACATATAATAATAAAATTAATACCATGCATAAATATATCAGTAGAAATTGTGAAAAACTTATATTTATATGAAGCATTATTATCCTTAATAGCTTTTGTTGCTCAATAAATTTCCTTCCATTTGATTTATTTTAATTTTAATATGGACAAGTCCTATAGGTTTTCAATTCAATATAGTGTTCATTTCCAACAACATCTCTTGCCATACATACATTATTAATAGTGAAGATGGATTAGGAAGACCTCAAATTTTAACACACACAGATAAATTGTTCATAATTTCTATTAATACATTTTTCCCTGTTATTACTTTATTTATCATCATTATTTGTATCATTAATGTTATTATTGGTATTGATGTTAATGTTACTAAAAGTATTGATGCTAGTATTATTACTCATATGTAAAGATAGTGTTATTATTATGCACATTGCTATTATCATCAGTTATTAATGTTATGTAATGCTACATGTTAACAATACTCTTGAACCATATCGGCTCATTGTATCGTTATAAGTATCTGTAGCAGTGTTGATGTTCAATAGATATTTTTTATTTCATTTATTTTGGTTTCATACGTACAAGTGCATAGATCTTCTATTGGATGAAGGTTCCAATGAAATTCAACACCAATCTTTCCACATCATTTCTTTATAATATACATGGACTATCTTACTCTGAATTCAATCAACTATGACAACAAAACATGCAGACCATTGGAACAGATGTGCTGGTAGCGACCACACCAATAAACATACGCTAACTGCTACGTATTTCAAAGAGGGTAACTGACTAATTCACAATCGTATGAGTTTCTGGAAATCGGAAATAGATACATCAAAATCACATAGATCTTTGCATCTCAAAAAAGAGCTGTAAAATATATGGCTCATCTATTCACTGATTCACACTCGGGCGTCGACTGGTAAACTCATACATATAAATGGCACGGGAGGCACTGATTCCGACTAGGCTGGCATAGCATGTTTTACTTTTCCAATACCAAATATCGCCTTTCTCACCAGATCCAGAATATTATTATCACAGAAAGTTTTTCCTTTCTTTTATATCTACCAAGAGTATAATTTTCTTTTAGTTTTCTTGAATTGATGGTGATATAGGGATGATAACCAGTTAATTGCATTACAGTTGGAATTCAATATCTTTAACCCGTTGATGACTGACTTTTTCTAATACAAAGAGATAAAGCTGAGGTCTCCGAGTCCATTACCATTCAAAATATGGTAACTATTATAGTTCCCATACTTGTCCTTACTTCACTAACAAAACAGCAACATGCTGTGACAGAAAGACAAACAAACCACTGAAACAATGTGCTTTAAAAAGACCAAAGACTTCCACTCGTACAACAAATTTTGAAACCGTATGTATATGGGGTTTTCCTTAAAGGGTGAACAAGAGCAAATATGTACCTTTCTTTGCTATGCTGAGCGTACAATAGGTTTATTTTTTTTCGATAAAATGGCTATCGTGACATTGGATAATTTGTCCGATTTCAATACTACTCATACTAATTTTACATATACTGTACTAAACCGCTGCCTAGCATAGAAACTCCTCCCATATTAAAAGTTCCCCTTACTGGAAACTTCCTCCAGAAGGAGCGATGTGAAAGATGTGTTAGAAGCCCCCTCACTTTAAAAATTTTTTGAAAATTTTTATTGGCATTTTCATCGTAAA